CTGGGCCCCACTTATTTACCCCGATAGCAATCTTGACAGGAGGCCGCACCTGTTCAGCCATGTGCTCAGCAGACCTCGCCGTGATTGACAACAGCCCATTGTTTACAGACCACTTACGCAGAGTTCTCCCGCGCGCACCGGTCATGTTTGTCTGCATTCAGATTCTCCCCATTAAAGGAGAGATTTTCATCAAGCCAAAGGTGTTCGTTTGGATACATTTAAATGCATTAACTTACAATTTACAGTTGTGCAGCAAAAGCGCACCGTAACCTTAATGATCTCAGATCTAACAAGCACATTACTCATGTCATCATACGCTCTACCCCCAAGTAAATGTTTCCTGGCCAAAATTTACTGAGCCTGGTTGACACAGAGTGAAAAATGCAGTTACGTCTGCAGCTCATGCAAAGAACTTGATGGAGTGCAGGCTTGGTGAACAGAGTGCACAGTCCTCACCCTGAAACGGCCTGCGCCGCACAGGTTCCTTAACATGATTGACGCGAGACACCTTCAGCCTGTGGTGAGGGCCAGAGCGGATGGAATCGGTGGAGGTTTTGACCTTCTTCAGCTTTTTCACCCCTCGCCGGCTCTGGATCTAAAAGTTCCCGGCGGCGTGATTCCAAAAGAGGAGGGAGTTTCTCCCAGTGTCTCGGCCAACGAGCGGATCAGTTTTTATCAGTTCGGAGGTCTAATACAGAGATTTTGAAAATGAAGAGGGAGAGAAGGGAATAGTACAGCGTTTCCTGCCAGGGAGCGTGGGCATGGCAGCCAATATGGCCATCTTATCGGGAGCGAAGGAGGAGAGGGCATCGCTGGAACTCAAAAGAGATTCATAGAAGGTACAGAAGTTTGAAGCAAATACCTCCTCACGTAGGGTGACAGTGATAACAATGGTTTGAGCAAAATGGGTATGACAGAAGAACTGTCTTGAGGGAGCTGAGGGTTGCCTTGGGATGTTCTCCCGATGTGAAAAGCGCGATACGAATATATGCAGATGTAATTTGTTGTTGTTGTTGTTGCCTCGGAGACTGACCGAGGTGTGCTATCTGACCTGTAATGTTCTGCATGGGAAGTTCAGCATTAGACAGTGCAGCCGGTGGCGTGAAGGGCACCCTTGCCCTCAGCTGTTATACAATGGGACCTTCCAGATACCCACAGGGAACCTACACCCACTACACTATAGTGTGAGTCAGATTGTCAGCACTCTGAATTCTCCACGTGGCTAAATGTAAAATAAAGGGGATCCGAGGAGACCTCGGCCTTTGATGCTACGATCTCTAAAGTGAATGGAGTACAATAACCTGAAGTAAGCATGGTGCTTACTTAAATGCAATATTATTGTAAATATGATAGAGAATTTTTAAAATACACTAGTTTTTTTTTAACGTCTAGGCCTTTAGGATTAGGTCTTTTAAGCTGTTAATTTGCGCATAGCACTGGTCCAGTCAGTTTCACACTCAAGAGTCCTGCATTGCATAACGCTGTTGAATTTCACACAGTGGGACTCTGCTTTGTTTAAACAAAAAATATTGCTTTGAATAGTTAAAACTCGACAAGCTAAAAGAGCGCCCCTAACCTTTTTTTAAACCATAAATACAAAGTAACACGGCAGTTTTATTATTTTAGCAGTATGCAGTTTATCTAGCGCAGAAAGAGTTAACTTTGCTGCAGTTAAAGGAGGCTTCCCTTCTTTTTCTCCCTTTCACATGCATGAACAATTTAGGACATTAGTGACACTTGGCTGTGAGGTTAGCAAAGGGCAGGGGAGGTCTTAAGGTCAGCGTGAGAGCAGTCATGTGAGATTTGCTAACAGAACGTAGGCTGTCTGTGTTATTTAAATCTGGGATCATGCCTCAGTTCTTTCGGAATCAGATTACAGACTGCTCATGCACTAAATTAAATAAATAAAACTTTAAAATTATGGAGACAGTTTCTCTTTTGTTGGTCTAAGCTGGTATTTAATTACGCAATAATGTGTCCTAAAGAGCGGTAATATTATGTTTGAATCCGAGAGCCAGCCCAGAAAATTGAACCTCAGGCCAGGGAGAGGGAGAGTGAGAGAGAGAGAGCCCTGTTCGTAAGTATGACAAAGTCAGCGACGCATGTTTGATCATTCATACATGGTCATAATTAGTAACAGTGATGCCATCCACATGCTCACAAAGCGACCGGTTGCAAAACGTGGCTGAGGCAAAAAAGCTGAATCTGCCCCACCTGAGCCTACATTTGCTCTCTCACCTGTTATTCAGTGTAAGACTTACACAAGTCTTCCATTATTTACCAGGGAAATGAAGATACCTGGACTTGTTCTTTGGAAAGCCTAATCGCTTATCTGCCCCTTCCCATTTAAAGAGCAGCACAAATTTTAACACAGATAATTGGATTGTTTGCACAGCAGCTTTTGAATTAACAGAGTGCGATGAATACAGAAGCCCTGGTTTGGATGAAGCATTTGGTTCCGTAGCAAGTGATGTGACAGTGTCCACAGGAAGCCCTACGTTTTTACTACTGTAAAATGCAGTAACTGCATTTTGTAAGCAAACAAGCAGCCAATTTGCCCACAGCAATGTTCCACAAACACACATAAAGTGAATGACCAGTTTTATTGGTGGGGGAGTGTGGGAGTGGGGGGTGGGGGGGGACGGTTGTTGGCCAAGACACAGGGAGAAACTCCCTTTTCTTTTCGAATAGTGCCCAGGGGATTTTAACGTCCACCTGGACAGGATCTCGGTTTAATGTCTCATCTGAAGGACTTACTTATCCTGTTATACAAACCAAGCGCATTTCAAAACACACCAAGCAAAACAAAGCTGGAGATTTCTATTCAACAATTGGTACTCAGGGTTTTATTTTTGCAATATTCCCAGCAGACGTTGCCTTTTCCCCACTTGACTCGAATCTGGCTGTTGTGAGCCTCGGTGAAACAGCCACAGAAAGCAGCACCTGAGAAGCAGCTTTCACCTCCCCATTGCCCAGTGATTTAGGTTCCTTTGACTGTTTTTCTTACTCCTGTGCGATCGCTGACATTTCCAATCTGTGCGTTAACCTCGCTAAGAAAACGCACAGAAAACAGATGCGATCGAACAGGAGTTTTAACAAAATTACAACTTATGAGTCAAATGGCAAACAGATGGAAAGTTGAAGCACAACATCAAAACAACAAGGGGGTCACATTTCAGTTCCCTGACCTTACCTACCCAAGTCTCGAGAAGTGCATTTTTGTTTTGGCTGCTTTCCTATACGAGATTGCTCTGATGGGATCCAGATGAGGTCACGAGCTGCGTTTCAATGCTGAGTAGCCAGTGCTCTGTCAGTCAGTGTGAGGGAAAGGCCACTGAGGATGATCAAACAGTTTGGGTTTGACACTCCCGCCCCCCACCCCCCCCACCACCCCCCCATTATGTACTCGCAATTACCCACATTGAAATGACAGGGCAATATTGTTCCCATTCTTAATAATTTGCGGTCCTATTCACTATAAAAACGATCGTTCATATAATCATCGGAGCCCTGATCATTCCTATGATGCAGGGGCCCCAGTAGAGTAATTATAATTGGCAGATAATTGAGGTTCCATCGTCTCTATTGAACCAATGTACAGTATGTTTCTTTTTCCCAGGCTGAGTTTGCCTGTCTCCCTTTTTGAACCTCAAATAATAAAAATGTTGGATAATGCGAGCACATGACATGCGATCTGCACGTCACATTTAAACCAGAGGGGCTGGATGCACATGGAGCATTGCAAGATACACAGCAAGATGCTGTGAGTTTTGAAAATAGCCAGGGCCCTGGAAGCTACTGAAAGCCAAATGGAAAGAAAATTTACCCATAGCAGGACTGCAACTGATTTACGAGCATCTTGTGTGGGTCAAAGAAAAGGCAACATAGAAAAAAATTGGCTTCAAAAGCAGGAGAATTCACAAGTCACCCACTTATTGCTTCATCATAATTAACAATGAGCGTATTTTGGTGGGGGGGAGGAATCTTGTTTTGTTATTCTGAGGATTTCTGAAATGTATTAAGTGATGTTGGGTAAGAACAGTAACATATGAAGGGGTGGGAAAGGCTACCAGAGTGGGAGCCTCAAATCTGCATTTAGTACATCTCAGAGACAGTAGGGAGACTTCCCCCCCAACCCCTACCCCCCCACACACACCCTCCACACATACACCCCACATCTGATTTCTTTTATCTTTACTGGGGCCGTTATTATAGGTGACATTTGCCATCCTGAACCTCACCTAAGTGGCCACTCTTCACCTGTTGGCCCTGGCAGGCCTTTGATCGTAGACACACCTTGTCTGCATTGGGTAATCACATATTCTCACCTCTTGCAGCCTGAGGCAACACATTGTTAGCTCATCGTTGGCATCTCCAGTGTGCACGTGTGCAATGCTGTTCAACATCAGTGCTAAAACGCAACACAACATCGACAGTGAACCCCAAGTGCACTTATTAGCTGATTCAATGGCTTACAACCACACAGTCACTACACTTAACAATAAAAATCCTCTGAAGTGTTTGGAACACTTAGACGACATGATAAGATGCTATGTCAAATGCAAGGATTATCATTATTATTATTATTGTTGTTGGAAATTATCCGTCTGTACATTTTAATGCAACATTGCACACTATACAGCATCGTAATTATTGCAAAGTGTAATTTTTGCAACTAGGAGTTAATGGAATAAATGCTTGTTGCTCAGAAACTAGCAAATTCTTCGAAGAGTAAATGACATCCCGTAGGTCAACCTAATGCTGAGTGGCTGTTTGCCGAAATCTATCTTTTGAAGTAAGCGGTTTATCATTGGAGCAGTGCTAAAACTGCAGTGAATACAGTAAAGGTAATCTAGTTTAATTAGTGATTCAGAGATTACCACACCAGCCTGAGTCATTGCGCGACAGGATAAAGCTAGTCCTGTCAAGACACGTTTGTTACAGTAATTGCCTTGGATAAAGCGAGCGACTGAAGGCAGCCTCTCCTTGTTTATTTCCAGATCCATGAGGACAGGCTTGAGCCTCCTCTGTGAGGAACTGAGGAGCGTAGAAGAGCCCAAACCGAAGAAGAGCAAAGTTTCTATGAGAGAAAGCAAAGAGCAGGAGTACGGTGGAAGTAAGACTGGGTCAGAGGTCAGTAATTGTATCTCTGTTCATGAAAAAAGACTTGTTTAATGTGCGGATTATAAGACGTGCTTTACAAAGAGATTCACAACCAATCTGATGGCAACAAGGGCTTGGTGTATTGATTCCAGATGTGTTTGCTTTGATTAGTAATCTACAAACTGTAGTTAAGTATTCGAACATTAAACTACAGGTTGAATGGTTATATAATAAATGCAAGCTGGCAGTGCTTACTTCACTAACATGCTGACAAGTTTAGGGTGGGTACAAATCCATTGCGAGTGATTTCAATTAGAAATGTAATAGAAGATTCTCCAATAGAGCCTGGTACCTTTGAGTACGTATGGTTACTGCTGTTCCAGGTGATACCTTTACCCACTCGGTCATTGGGAGAAGGACTTATGCCCTTATTTTATTAATAAACCTTCCCATCCTTTGGCAAAAGGGAGCTCTGCAGGACCATGAGTAAATCTGGCAAGTACTGTGGGCCAGAATACGCCATTACTGGTTTCAGCGCCTTGGGACGCCCTCCCGAAGTGAAAGGCGCTCTATAAATGTAATTTTTATTGTTGTTGTTGTCAGTGTAAACCAATTAATCTTGTGATGGTAGCACACACAGTAGCAAACACTCCACTTTACCAGAGGGGAAGGAGACTGAGAAGGGGGGACAGAAAAATGATAGCTGATGGTTGAACTCCATTTCAGTCGAAGAGTTTCATTGAAAGAGCATTTTCTAACATACCCAATGGCTTGTCATAACATTTTCTCACTGCACCATCCCCAACATTATGGACTCACGTACAAATGCACAGGGTCATTTCTAACCTCAAGTTACCATATTTCTCTGTTTGTGGCAACCGACAAAGGTTTCGCTCAGAGAGAAATTCCAGCGAGTTCCCGAATCACTTGTCAGCAAAGCTCCGAGAAGGCATGTCCAAGGGCCACCTTCGTACTTCAGTTTTATTTTTTAAAGCCTTTAATAATAAATAATAATAATCCTTGCATTTGATATAGCGCCATATCATGTCTTCGAGATGTCTCAAAGCGCTTCACAGAATATACTGCAAAGTGAAATAACGGTATATTTTGTGGGTGAAACCCGGCAGCCAATTCGCACAGCAGTGTCCTACAAACAGTCGTGGATTGGGTGGCCGGATTATTATCATGCTTTTAATAATTTTTTTAAAGGGATTATTACCCCCGGAAAAGCGATCTGCCAATTGACTATGTAAACAGAGGCGTGTGGAGTAAAGAAACTTGCCCAACGTTTCGCCCTGCCCGGGAATCAAACCCAGGTCCTCTCGCTTGCGAGGCGAATGCTCTAAATGCCTCATGGAATATTGCGCATTCAGGAATTTTGTCACGAGTTAGGAGTCTAATGGAGCAGTTCATTTGACAACCAGAGTCATTAACATGTTAGACGTTTTGATGCACTTTTAATGATGAATGCTTTCTTTCAGACAAAACCAAGAACGAACAAGAAGGACGTCTCTCAAACCAAGCTTACATCAAAGCTGGGGAGAACAAGCTCGCAGCCAAAGCAAAAGGTACTAGGTAAAACAGCAAATAAAACACACACGACAGCCATTCTGAAGTCTGCCAACACCAGTCTCTTCGGAGTCAAAAAGTCAACGCAGTCTGTTAAAATCCAGAAAAAAATGGCAAAAGCAAAGACCTCATCAATATCGTACAGGAAAGATACAGCAAAGCATGTGACTGCTTCTTCAGAAACAGGTACGCACATCATCTTACAATTAGATACCAGGAAAATGGATCAGAATGTTACCAGTGCCTTAATGATTGCAATCCCAAACCTATACGCACCAGTGATATTAATTGTTATACTATACAGTGACATTCATTTTATTAAATATCAGATGATTGAATAGATTGATTTAGAGCTCAGTGAGATGAGTCTGCTGTTCTGTTTAGTCTGGTTATATGAATAGTTCTCACTGTCAAGTTGAGTATTCAAGGAACAGAATTTCACTGTCTCGTGTTCGGTTTTCGAAGTAGGGTCTCCGATTCTCAAATGCATTTGCCAATGTTCCCTTTGCTGCACAGTATCCACATTCCAGATTGCAATTCTATTTAATGCTTTATGTAGTGTTTGGCACTTTTTAAAAAAAATTTGGAGCGACTTTTGTCTAGCCACTTACTGAGTGCTTCAGGGCATTACATGTACAGTAGTCAGAGAGTGCATAAGACAGACTCGAGAATGCTCTGCGCTCTTTTTAATCATTGTTCATTTTGGTTCTGCATTGCACGAACCAGATCGGCACACACGTGTTTTTAATTTATTTTTATAATAAAAAAAAGCTACGTACTTTATTTAATCGTTTACCACGTTATACATATTGGGATCGATTTCTGCCACCTCCTTTACAGCTTTCTCCCCATCATCTCTCCTGCCCCCCCCACCACTCCTGGTGTATCATAGAAGAAGAATTTGTACCTGGCACAACTGCAGCAAACAATTATAGGAGCTACAGGAGGAGAAATTCCACTTGGGTCTAGATTTAACTCCCTTTATGAATCATATCAGGACATCCACGATCACTGCTTTAATTTTGAAGCTGTTTCTTGTAAATTGCAGAACTGCTACTTTCAGAAAAACAACTTCAAAGTTAAGATAGGGCCAACAGTTTGCCAAATTCTGGACACGAGTGAGTAAATCTAGACCCAGGTGCAATTTCTCCCCCGAGAGCCTGTTAAATGATACCCCTGATAATTGTATCAAGCAGAATAGTTGAGTGGGCCTTGAACCAAAGTGGCACACAGTTCCCCTTTTTTTGGGGTAGAGCAATGACTTTTGAAAAACTACTTACAGAGCAAATGCGCAGAGGGAAAGACTTACGTTTCAGTGCCGGTATCCTATACATTTCATATTTACTGCTTGAGGAAGCTTGGCTATAACTGCTGATAAGAATTGTAGGCGTTTCTCTGCCCTTAAATATCCTCTTCATTAGACCAAATCTGCCTGTTACGTATAATGTTCGGGTAAGATATGAGATCGACAGCAAAAGATAAAATGACCGCGGGTGCTCATGTCGTTTCAAATTCTAGCCTTGAAAATGGAGTCGGCAGAGGAAGATCGTTTACCGAGCGGGAAAACTATTTTTGCCAGAAACAAAGTGGCCCAGAAGGTCAACTCCCTGGTTAAAAAGAAGCCTATCATTCAACCCAAGAGAAGGGCCATTGGGGTCAAAGTGCAGAAAGCAGGAATTAAGAAGCAGAAACAGGAAATTCAGCCCACAGTGAATGAAAAGGAATGGTTGTCTACAGAGAGTGACGGCTTCTCCTCAGACGCAGGTATGCTGCTTAGTTTGCGGAAGAAAGAGATAGAATCATAGACATTTGCAGCGCAGAAGGAGGCCATTCAGCCCATCGAGTCTGTCCTGGCTCTCAGAGTAAGGTGTTCATTCAATCCCACTCACCTGCCTTATCCACATTCCCCTTCTTAGATTCATTGCAAAACCAAATACATTGAAGCAGTTAAAATACAGATGCACTGGATGGCTTTACTGGCCATGGTATAAGTGTAGCAACACAACAAGGGATTGACTCTCAAGAGGAACCAACATTGAAATCTTGCTCTGCGTACTCCGATTACAGAATCGCAACAAAACCATTGTTGCAGCACAGATTGACTTGAGGCCAATGCACGGTGATGAGTTTTCGCTCAGCGTGTTGTGCTAAAGTCAACAGATTTACTTTTGGTCCAAGTGCTTTCATATCCTAAGGTCAGAACTGGACAGGCACATGGTCCAAAGCTGTTGGATAACTTTTTTCTTTCTCTTTCCCTCGCTCTCTCTCTCTCTCCACTCTGTAGATATGAGTGACGACGATGACAACTATAACAGTGCAGACAGCAGCGATTGCATCGCGGAACTGCCCATGAAAGAACTGGGGCTCCGTACAGAATACTCACCAGCACCGATCCCTGCTGAGATCGGCCCCTCACCTTCCTCCATTGTGAAGCTCGAAGCTAATCAGAAAGCGAAGAAGAAGAAAGAAAGGCAAGGTCTTCTCGGTAAGTTATAGGCACTCGGAGCTTCATTATGGGCTCAGGGAATGCATCTGATCAACATTGGCTTCATATTGTGCAACACTTCTTCTGGAAATCTCTCCCTAAATCCATTATCACATTATCACAACATCTGTCGATGGGATCCACTGTAACTGCTGATAAGAACCCTATTTATAATTTCACTGCAAAAAAAAATTGGTCACAAGGAGCCAACTTGGTCTGTAACACTTAGAACTGCTTGCCAATGACCCCTGTAAAGGCACTCCCCAAGAGCTGGTGCTGCTGAGCAAACGGCACAGTTAAGTTATTTCAGGGTTTATTTCAGTTTACAGCTGTGCGGAGGGATTATCTATGAATAAGGACTTTTTTATGGTATCTGAATGATTGCCGCTGACAGATATCGTCGTACAATAGAGCCCCCATTATACAAACTGCCCAAGAGATGCTCACTAATTTAAGATAAATATCGCAGAAATAATACCAAACCCACAAACCTTGGGCTTCCTCAATGCGGCCTTTGTACATGCATCAAGACGCTTGGTGATTCTCGTCACATTAGCATAGCCAGTGCCAGAATAGATTAAGCATCACAAGAGACATTCCTTGTGTCTGATTAATGGGAAAGACTTCCCATTCAGATGATGGAAAAGGTTCCCTGATGCACTTCTCGCAAAGGCCGATAATAATAATCCTTGCATTTGATAGAGCGCCTGATCATGTCTTCGAGATGTCTCAAAGCGCTTCACAGAATATACTGCAAAGTGAAATAACTGTATATTGTGGGCGAAACGCAGCAGCCAATTGCGCACAGCGGCATCCACACAAACAGCCGTGGATTGGGTGACCAAATTATTTTTTAAAAAGATGTATTTCTTTTTTCGGAGGAATTATTACCCCCGGAAAAGCGATCCGCCAATCGACTAACAACCGGGTTCCTACTTACTGCTGGGGAAACAGGTGTGTGGAGTAACAAGTCACCTTGCATTTGGTCCTGCACGGGAATCGAGCCCGGGGGTCCTCTCGCTTGCAAGGCGAGTACTCCTAACCACTGAGCTGCAGGACTCCGCTACAGGATGGCGGAGATTAAATTCCTCCCATGTTTTTCAGGGACTCTCGGGTTTTGCAATGCGGACGGGGACGTGAAGATCAAGAAGAGGCCGGCCAGGCCAGGCATGGACTCCAGCGGCACGGTCAAAAAGCTGGAGAAGCTTCCAGCAAACAAGAAAAAAGGAATCAAAATGGGAGAGAAGCCCAAAAAGCTGAAGAATGCAAAAGGCGGAGCAGAGGTGACAATCTGGCGGCGTCTTGAATCTAATCTGCGGCCCCTGCTGTATGGAGAGAGATTATTTCCCAGTGCCAACTCTGTGCCTACACAAATGGCATCTAGAAGTCAGGCCAAGAAAGGCTCAGCCAACAGGTGTAAAAAGATCACCAGAAAAAGCAAAGTATTACAGGCCGCTTTCAAGGTGGGTTTAGAATAAGGAATCCGAGGGCACTTTGGGCAACCAAAATAATCCTTCCTGTTTTCTTCTTTTGATTTGCTTGTGAATTAATGTGTAGATTTGATGCACTTTAAAACTTGTGCCTTGTGCTTTGAACTCCATCCTACAATTCTTCCGACTAGCCCCCTCCGTCCCTCCCTCCCTGTCTCCCTCCTCTCGTTCAAGCCACGTCTCAAAACGTACCTCTTCGACCGTGCTTTCGGTCATCTTTGTCTTGCCCACAGATCCCACTACCAGCTCAGGTGCCCATTCAGCACTGTGAAACATTTTGAAACGTCCTCCCGATATATATTGTATTGTATATATATTGTATTGTATGTTAACTGTGCTTTGCTCTGTCCGCCCCAAAACAGAATGATTAGCTTCAAACGCTGAACACGTTCATTCCTAAATTGTATTTATTTAAAGTGAGACTCTAAACCCAGGTCTCACCTGTTTGTTGAGACGTTAAAGGCACTATTGTAAAAGAGAAGGGAGGTTCTATCAGTGTCCTGACCGACATTCTCTCAGCCTAATTGGTCTTAGCTCTTTGTGAGACCTTCCTGGCACAAACAGCTTCCACATTTGCCTCCAAAGAAACAGTCACTCCACCTGGCATTAGTTACTCGTTTGAGACATTTCTTTGCAGAAAGAGCTCTGTGTATTAATGAAAGTTTTTTCTACAGCAAACAGTGCAACGACTTCCTGATCAGATCACCGAGCGCTAAAATGTGTTATTTTAAATTTGCCTTTGTTTTAAAACGAGTGGCTCCCGAGTTGTAAGTTGCTGAATTCAGAGAAAATAACTTTAAATAGCCGAAGACAAAAAATGTTGGAAATGCTTAAAGCCACTCCTTCAAATGCTAAGTAATAATAATAATAATAATAATAATAATAATAATGCTAAGTGACTAGTGACTGGAGTTAGACTTTGCGTTAGCAGGTTCTTCACACATCTTTTGCAGGTTTTGAAAGGTCTCGCTCTTAATTTCGATATAATTAGAATTTCTGTCGACTGGTTGTTACCCTAGTGCTGAGGGCTTCACTTTACATCTCCAGGGCCATAAACTGAAGTCCCAGTGCTGGCCGACACTTGATCTGCCAGTTACAAATGTGAACAGATTAAAGACTTGTCGGCTAGGATTTCAGAGGTAGCAGCTTCAGAGAAACTACCTCCGTCATGTCCTATAGGAAACATCCAACTTGCAACGTGGCAAATTCCCAATTCCCTCACAACCCTATTGGCACTGGTGGGAGAGGTAGTGATGGGAAGCATAACAACTCACTATCTACACAGCAAAATAATTCCAGGACAGACATAACCCTTTGAGTGCTGACAGTGGATCAAAGTCCTTTGAGATGTTATCCTACGTGAAGGGCTCTATATAAATGCAGCAGGTGTTGCTGTTACGATAAAGCTGCAAAATGCTTCTATGTTAAACTCACTTCGATATAAGCCATGTGTCCCTGTAAAACAAGGCTTAACTTACAAGACTTACACCAGCTGTAAGTCAATGCGCTGACTACATTTCGCTTTTGTTTCATTGCACCAGAAATCAAGCGGTCTGTGCCTTTCGCAAAAAGAAACGAAACCCATCGACTACAAACAGAATAGGCTGAACAAACTGAAGAGCAAACTGCCAGTAAAAGAGGTGAGGAGGCAGAGCAACCGGTGTGAATGAATGAACCAAGTGCAACAGAAAACCTAACCGCCCTGTGCAAATGGAGCACCACCCGACATATTGTGAACAGCGGGACCAGAAAGCTGTGTATTTCATTATGCTGCTGGTTACCTGGACATACTTCCATTGCTATCTTGGAGTTGAGTTAGCTGATCTCAGCTGTGCAATGGGGCGTGAGTTGCAATTTACCTCGGGAGCCTTGGGCAAGGGAAGGAATAAGAAAATAGCCAGGGTTTCTGGTACTGATGCCTCTCCAGTGATTATTCTGTTAAGGGTGTACGAGCAGACATCACCAGGGGCCTGAACATCGTCATTTTCTTAGGCTCAGGACCACAGTCTTTATGATTTAAGATTGTGCGGAAATTGGGAAAACAGCCTTAAATTGCAGTCTGATTTTGAACAGTTACGAAATTGTGCTGTCTTTAAATTATCAGACATTTCAGACGAAGGAGGTAGATGATGAGGTTATTTCAGCCTTCTGTAATGTTAACTAACAACCACCTCGCCTTTAGCATAGAACCGGTTACAGTAACATTAAGAGGAAGAAAATTGCAAAATTTCACAAATATACTTGCCCACAAAATACACTTGGTGAGGTGCTTTGAGAGGTCCTCCAGACACGAATGCAAGGATTATTCTTAAAAGTCCTAAAACAGAGCAAGGGAAATAAGTTGGAGCACAAGCTGGAATCTAGATGCATCTGTAAATTATGTTTTTTGTGCAGGTAAAGGGTCGAGCCGTCAGTAAACTTTTGGAAAGCTTTGCTGCAGAAGATGATTTTGAATTTGATGAAGACAGCAGCTTTTCTGAGGAAGATGAAAACGCCTCTGTGAGCTGCTCGGCAGAGATGCACCGTAAGTGACCCCCCCCCGCCCACCCCCCTCCCCTTATTAACGGCTTTAAGTTACAGAGTGGGGGAAACCAAGATGAAAACAGAGCAGATTCCAAGCGTAAAACGGGTAGTGATAAAACTACCTACTAGTACTACACTATTCAAGTCTCTGTTATGACCATGTATACATGGTGTACAACAGTGATATGTGACCGGTGTATATTAAATACAAGGTATATAATATACCAAGATACATAATATCTGCACCAAGCCACAGAAAGTCTCATAAAGAGTCTAACAAATATTGCGTTCTTCTCTCGCAGTCCCTCGATCGTGTGCCATCCATAAGGAGGATCTCAAAGAAGGCCTTCAGATTCTTATACCAAAGGAAGACAAACTGCTGTACGCAGGATGCATCAAGATTCTACAGTCGCCTGACATGTAAGATTACAACTTTGCCTGTTGCATTGCACAGGAATTCTGAGTCACTTTTTCCTTTGAGCTCTTTGCTTTTTCTCCACCAACCGTAATTTCCTTTCGAAGAATACATCAGGTGTAGATTCTCCCAACGAGCAGGTCTCCCCCATTGCAAATTAGCCAAGTCCCAACCTCGCTGCTCCAGTTAATGGAACAACCCGAGCACAAATAAGAGGCAGGCAGGACGAGAGGTTTTGCCCCCAAGCCAGTTTCATTTCTCTCTACGACTAAACCAATTCCAGATTTCAGACTTTCCCGATCCGCAGAATAAATTGGCCCTGATTTCAGCCAAATCCTGAGCTTGTAATGAGCGAGCTTTCTCGTCGAATGTGTTTTCGTGATTATTCCAGGTATTTGACCACAATGCTGAGCTTCAGTTGGCAGTAAATTCTGAACTGATTGCATGACAGAGAACGTTTGTGATATCAAGTGCAAACTGCAATTTGTTGCCTTTAGCTGGGGATGACAGAATTTCAAGGCTTCTAAAATATTTGGGTCTATTTGAAAGGCACATTAAATCATGTCCCAAATTACAGAAGAAAGAGTCTGAATTGCAGGCATACTTCTGTCTTACCCTGGGGGCAGAGAGTGTGTTGCTGAATATAAGAGCCTTATAAAGCTATGGCTTAGTAACTAATGAGTATTAGAAACATGGATGAGTCTCCTACCGACGAGTTCAACTAGCCTATGGGTGGGGAGTGGCGGGGGGGGTGTGTTGGTGGGGGGGTGCATTCCCCAAGTGTTAACACATACTGACCCGGGTGAGCCAACGCACCTTATTCTCCACTAGTGGGTGGCAGTGTCCCATGTCCTCCTAGTGTCCTGACCAACAACCAGTCTCGCAGATGAAATTGGTCATACACTACACGGCTGTTTACTGTTTGTGGCAAATTGGCTGCCTGCTTTTGACTACTAATACTTCAAGTCATCACACTTTATAGTAAAATCCTCTGAGGCAGTTTGAGATACTTTGACGATGTGATAAGGCGCTATATTAAGTGCAAGGATTATTTCCATGAGTAAATTTCCCATTGCGATGGGCGTGTTCAAGAAAGAAAGAGAAGGGATGGAGAGGAGGGGGTGGGGAGGTGGAATTTGGGAAGGAGAAAGAATGGGGGAGCAGGGAAGAACAGCAATGTTTGCAAGGAAGAGGAGAGAGATTACAGCGTATTGAAATTACTCTTAATCCTCTCGCATTGATTTAAAAATAAGCCTTCCAGTTCATGAGTAACCTTTTTCTAAAGGGCTCCCCCATTTAGCCACATTGACCACTCATGTTAGACAGTGGCATCTCCATACAGCAAGCAAACTGACTGTCAGCTCTGAGCCCGGCAATGGCCTGCGTATTTACAGATCAATAGGGAGTAATGCCCTCCCCATCAAATTAACAGCAAAACCCATTGGAACCATTTTAAAAAATCAAAGGATAGCATTCAATCAGTCTGTAAGAATACAAACTATGCGAGACTCAGTGAGGGGCTGAAAGCATGCATTCTTCATGAATCTTCGCGGCTCAATATCAGCAGGGGGGCATCTGCTTTTACCAAATGCAGGTCATCTGAGCTCTGTGGAGAGGCTTACCACTGAGAGGAGCTTACTAGTATCTTTAAACACTGTGGGAGACAGAGAGGTTAAGTACTTCCCATAGTCTCTTTCACCTTTTGAAAATGCAATTAAAATTAAATTAAAGAAAGCACCCTTCGACGGAGGAAATTGGAAGCAATTTGTAACTGGGAGTGAGCCCGAGGAAGACTTTGAATCAGGATGGACAGGGAAAAAAGAATGAACGGCATCGACGTGTAAAAACCCCATTCAGTTTCCAATTCTCTCCCAATTTTATGCTTGAGGGTAGGGAAGACACAAGAGATTCGGAGGAAAGGTTAATTGCCAACCACACCTCTTAGTTTGGTGCAGGACTTCTTTCAAATCTTGGCAAACCTGTAACGTTATAATTTGTTGTTAGGGGAAGTCACATAAATATTAGCGCATGCACACTTTGGCCAATGGCCCTTAAAATTGTCTGAAATTCTCCCCTGCCCACCAACTTACACATAGACGTACACGCAACACAATGTTTAAGAAAATATGCAGAAGATATTATCTTTTCTTTAGCTTTTAGACTTTAGATTAGCTTCCAGATTATAATTCAGTAAAACAACAACAAATTGCATTAACGCACTGCCCTTCACGCAGGGTAGCATCTCGGACCACTGAACACTACATTTATACAGCGCTTTTCACGTCACGAGGACATCCCAAAGTATTCACCAACTGAAGAGAGCACTTAAAGGGCTGCCTCAATCTATTATTCTATCCCGTCCAATTACATATTCCTTTCATGTTTCCGTGCAGACTATGACACATCCACACCTCGTACAAATAACTGGCCTTTTCTTTGCTTCTTACAGCTACAGTGTTGTGATTGAAGGGGAAAGAGGAAATCGGCAAAGAATCTATTCCCTGGAGCAACTACTACAGGAAGCCGTGAGTTCCATGTGCGATTGTTGCCCCACTTCCCAACGCAGCCAGTTCAGACCTCGTCTCGTCTGCCTCCCTTTCCTATGAATGATAATTAGAGATGATATTAGGTTTATTTTCCTTTCAGCTCCTTCAAAAAGCACAGCACCCCATACAGACTTCCATAGAAACCCACAGTTTCATTGGAAAATATCTGCGGGGAATGAGGGGGAGCGAGGGATTGAGTTGGGGGGAGGGGGTGGAGGGGATGAGGATCAGTGCTGATTTCAAAGGATGCCATTAACAGTAAAATTAGCAGATTGGGGGGTAAGGGGTTGAAGAATTGAAACATATAGATCCATAGAACTTTATGCAGTGAAACTTGCATAAGTCTGTATAAATCGTATGATCGCCTAAGTCCTACATCTGCCCAAGTCCCGTTAAATATCCTATAAGTTCTGCAACTCATACTTGGCATAAGTCATCCTAAATGTATGGTCCCCACTGTTACAACTTATATGAGGTTTACAGTAACACATAGAAGACCCTTCACCCAAATTGTGTCTGTCCATTCAGTGACGCTCACATGCCTTTTCCCCATCGATTTGAACATTGAGTTGTGTTTTTATCTTGGAATATGTTTCTCCTTACGTTTTCATTTAGAAAGTATTTTGGATTCACGCCCGATTGCCTTTGCAAGCTTGTTTTTTTTCAAATGGTGTACGGGGTTAGGGGGGTGGAGGTAGACAGACATCTTAATGTATAGATGGCAGGATTCATTACTAAATCCTAACCACTCCCTTTAACATCAGTAAGATTTTCATTTTCATAACTTGGAGTATTCAGAGCTATTGGTGTTTTGGCAGCAAGGTTGACTTCAATCGCTTGTTTGAGGCGTGGAGGGAAGGACATTTAATTCATTAAGGATCTTTTGATGTCTGAAAATAAATGATTGCAGTCATTGAATATCTGATCTAAGAAGCAAAACAACCATCAGGGATATAGCTGACACACTGATTCGACGTTGATGTTGATTTACCACACTTCCAAAGAGCCAGCAAGATATGACGGGCCTCATGACCACCTTCTGGCCTCTACATTTCCAACGTTCTATGGATTCACAACATTTGCCTGTCCAAAGACAACAACTTGCACTTATATAGCGCCCTTCACATGGAGTAGAATCCCGGAGCGCTTCACGGTGGTAGAGTCTGATAACGAGTCGGGGAAGAGGGAGGGGAAAGGTGACCTTAAACACACTGTTATTAAAGGTTCTACCGCCCTATTCATAAACAGAAGGGAGTTTCTCCTGGTGTCCTGGCTAACAATCCACCAGATAAAATTGGTCATCCACTTCTGTGGCTGTTTGTAAGACACTGCCAGGCACAAATTGGTTGCCGCATTCGCCTACAAGACACAAAGGCACAGCACTTTACAGTATATCCTACAAAGCGTTTGAGACGTCCTCCCAATGTGAAAGGGCTAAATCAAATGTAAGCACTATTATTATTATTATTATTTTATTTCCAGCTTTTTTTAATCTCATTTTATTCCAGATTTCTCCAGCATCCAGATGTCATTGATGTTTTTTGCATTTCATACGTTTTAAATTTCCTTTCTCAGCATTCGGTGTTTTGAAGCCATTACTTACAGAGAGTATTTTTGTTCTCTGTTAGGTACTTGATGTCAGACCGCCTTCAACACGGTTCCTGCCGCCAGACACCAGGGTGTGTGCGTATTGGAGTCAAAAATCCCGCTGTCTTTACCCAGGAACTGTAATTCAAAGTAGGTACCCAATACTTACTCAAAAGTTTCATGTGCACCGTGTAATATAATGATCCAAAACCAGCTCAGTGGGAGGAGAAAAATGATCCCTGTCCAACGCAGCAAGTTGGTTTCCCGGCCAAAATCGGGATCAAATGTCTAATGTAATCCAGGGCTACATAGCGACTTTCAAATGTCAAAGGGGTATAACTAGGAAACTTAGTAGAATTCTTGACTCATTCAATGGGGGTGGTTGGAGGGGTTCATTGCCTGACTCTTGTTTCTGTCTAGCTCGGGAACCCAGGCAGCAATACAATTTAAGCTTCCCCCCCCCCCCCCTTCCTTTGATGTCAGGAGGACATCTCAAAGTGCTTGACAATACTGGATGGGCATCTGACTGTCAAAAGTACTGAAGGTGCTTAAACGAGTACCTTTCTACCCTCAAACATTCCATGCACCGTCCAGCAGATGATTGCCCTGCTGAGCTGGGAGCCAGTGAAACACTTTAACATTGCCTCTTCCACTGTACGAGTGAAGAAATTGAAGGTTTTAAGATACGCCAGCAGAAATAAAGAGGTGCTTCTAGAAACTCTGTCTACCGAAGCTTTCCCCCCCTTTCCCTCGTTCCGCTCTGCGATCTCATTACTTTCCGGTGTAGCTCAGTTATTCATTTCCTGTGGAATGTTGAGCGAAAGGTTTCAGAACCCAGGTACCAGCATTTATAAAGCACCTTCCATCCCGAGCCTGCAGTGTGAGTTAGCTGCTCTGGACATTAATTCGCAGCCCCAGTGTATCATTAATGGGCGCCATGGCTGTAATGTAATTCCCTGTTTAAGTCATCGTTGAAACTATACGAAAAAAATCACTTTTATGAAAGGTTTTTAAAAAAATCGACAAGCCAAATACAAAATTTGGCTTCCCACCAATTGAATTGATTCGCTTCCAGCAGTGCAGCAAAGACTATTAATCAGAATTGGTTAGTGACTGAATATACTTTTTCTGCACTGATTATTTAAAACATCTTGAGTTTAAAAAAAACACAGGTCTCGATTTACTCTTATTTTCTGACAAGAGTTTTGGAATGTCCGGAACAGGGCAAAATGTCTCAATACAGTCTTCTAAAGTTGAAGCTGAAACACAGCTTGAAGGCTGAGACCGTGATTATAAACTTTTCTGGGTTCTGGATGTTTCGAAACAATGAAGACTGTATTTGAGAATTTGCCAAATTCCGCATGAGGTAGAACTCTTAAGAAAATAGAACACAGTCACACCTGAGTGCAATTCTCCTGGTGTTTGTACTCAGATGAGTGTGGGCCCTTCTTAATCCCCTCTCCAATTATTCCCTTCTCTCTCATGCACCCATCGGGTTTCCTCTTAAATATGTTGATGCATTTTGTTCAACCAAAGATTCAGGCACGCAGCGAGTTCCACACTCTCACCACCTTCTGTGTGAAGCACTTCCTTCTACACTCCTTTTAGATCTGTTACTGGTCTATCTTATCCTTACGTCCCCTCATTTTGGACTCACCAACAAGTAGAAACAGCTTATTAAATCCACCTTATCGAATTCTTTCATAATCTTAAACATGCCGCCTTTACGTGACGTTGATCTATCTTAACCCCATAGAAGCCCTGCATGTTGATTTATTTCTGCAACATTTGATGTGCTCAGTCAACTCGGAGAAATACATTGATAGCAGCATCTGCTGTGCATGTGGACTCTCTGACCTGCCGGAGATTCCAAATCTGCAGCACAACTCGGGAAAGAAATGTTTCGAAAGTTGCTTCTCGTTTGGCAAGTCGGAATCTTTTTCAACTTGCTGAAATTTCGCTCGCCAAAAAAATACTCGCTTGAACTTTAACTGCTTGGAATGAATCCAAAAGAGATGCATGGATGATATAGCCTCACAGTGAAGAACGAGAACGAGAACGTTCGGGAATAAAATAAAAGAGTGGGGGCTTGGATACGAGATTATCATGTTAATTTCAACAACAACAAATTGCATTTGTGTAGCGCCTTTCACGTCGGGAGGACGTCCCAAGGCGCTGAGCTAAGGATTTGCACCCGAGCTGGTGGTTAGGATCAGAATCTTTTTTTAAGATCAGGCTTGCGTGTCTTTTTTTTTCGGTTTGCCGCAGTTCACTTCGCGAGTTCCATGGGAGTTATGGCATTGCACTATCCGGCTCTGAACTGTGTGTGCTGCACTGTGCGTCGGTTCATATTTTGGAAGGGCCTCTTCTTATGTCAACTTGAAGGCGGCCTGAAACTGGACCCTGTGAAAATGTTTTTTGTGAACAGTAAACTTATGATAACTATGTATAAATGTAGCAATTGATTCGCAAACCTTGACACTCTGCCATTTCTGCTACGTGAGGGGAAAGGGTTAGGTGCTGACTGCGGGCACCAACTGCTGCTCTCCACTCACCACTCTTCGCGTTCCTCTCGTCACTTTAAATCAAAACACTAGCTTGTACTTTCAGCAGCAAAGTTAATTTACGCTTAATTCATTGTTGCATTACATGTTCATCTTCAGATTAATCTGTCCCGCTCACCATAAACCAGTCTTAATTTATGTTTGAGTACTGTTGTTAATCACCAATGGGCTTAGTGTAATAGCGAAGATTTCTGAAAATAACATTGGGCCAGTTTTAGTGTCAGTTTTAGTTTCAGTATATTCGCCCACAAAATATACGGTCAAATTACAGTATAATCTGTGAAGCACCTTGAGACGTCTCAAAGACATGATAAGGCGCTATATCAAACCCATGGATTATTATTAGCACTATATTCTGTATCAGGTAATGTTAAGGATCTTACGCTTCAAATGGCAAAGGCTGTAAAACTCAACGCCTTGTCTTGAGCTGTAGAAATAATTGCAAATGCTATGCATATTGGCAGGGGTGCTGCACAAAGGTCGAGTGCATATGTGACAACAAGATTTAGTTTTATGTGTGAAGCAACGCACATTATTGTAGTTGCCCTCCCGCGTGACCTTCAGGATGTTGATCTTGTTGTCAGTCACATTCGTTCCCAAAGACAGATTGACTGGATAGATCCACTCATCACAGAGTCGCTGGAGGAACCATACAATACAGGTTCCTCTTTGGTTACTCCACAGCTGTTTGCATGTTCAAGCCCACCCCAGGTGATACAATACAAAATTAAATTTGTATAGCGCCTTTCACGTCGGGAGGACGTCCCAAGGCGCTGGGATATTAACCCGGTATGCCATTTGACCTGGATACAGAATACATAGACCATACATTTTACAGTATGTCCCGTGAAATGCTTTGAGACGTCCCAAAGACGCGATAAGACGCTGTATTTCTCTTCAACCGCGCCTTTGGTCTCCCTCCCACCTCTCTGCTTTCCCTCGCCCCTACACCACCCCTCCCCATGCTAGGGCTCAAACAACTGACTGTTCAGCGCTTTGGGACGTCCTCCCGACGTGAAAGGCGCTCTATAAATGTCATTTTGTTGTTGTTGTATCAAGTGCAAGGCTTATTAGGCACGCATGACAAAACGCTACTACAAACAATAATCCTTTCATTTGATATAGCGCCTTATCATGTCTTCCAGACATCTCACAGATTATACTTTAACTTGAACCTTTTAGGGCAGTTTGCCCGAGAACTTTCAGGGACCTTTTTTGATGAAAAGCTAAATAACAGTAGAAAAACTACTACCTGTGATATTTTTGCTAGTCGTTTTTTTTCAACCAGCCTCTCAGCAATCCCATGAGAAGCGGGAAGTGTAAATCAAGCCTTGAGTTCCACATCTCTCCTCTGCTCTGGCGTCGTTTCCACCAGTATAAACAAGGCGTAAAAGTGCTTCCTGCCTGCCCTTGACTGGTGCTGGTCTTGCAGCCTGAAACAAACAAGTTTTTACCATCATCCCTGGGATTACTAGGAAAACAAATCCCCAACAAAAAGAGCGTGGTTTCAAATTCCAAGCACCTGTCTCCTGGCATCAGCTTTAATGCACTTTTCATCAAAAGATCTTGCAGCGAATTGCCACCAGGAGCCCCTTTTGTAGCAAAATCGGAAACCAGCGCGAGTGAATGTGAAAGCCAAATGAGCATAGCTGTGCGAGTGAGTGAGAAAACGGAGAATTAGTTCCATAAGGCATCCATTATCCAGATGCGTCGTTGGAATTGGAACTGGCTTGACTATTTTTTAAATAATTTCCTCCAACTCGTATCCCTTTGTACAGTGGTATTATTGTGGGTTTTGTCTACCTCACCCCCCTGCCAACACCACCCCTGCTTTCTTGCCCTTGTTGTGGTTCTGAGAGAGAGGACTGTAATTTAAGCCTGGGTCAATCTAACCACCGTCAGTCAGACTTAAAAGATATAGCTGACAATGGTTAGGAGACAATCAATATCATATTCCTGGGACAAGAGGAAGCGGCATCTGATCTGGTATTTAATACAGGAGAGTCAGCAGCAAAACCATACTCTGGGGTGAAAGAGAGAAAAAGAAAGAGTATCGCTTGTCAGAGGTCAGACTGTGAATCCAGGATGTTATTTCACCACTGGCAGGAGAAGTGTCGGACATTTGACTGGAAGGTTTACAGTTTTATTTTTCCCTCCCTCCCTCCTTCGTTCAAGGTCCGACTCAAAACATACCTCCTTGATTGAACTTTCGGGGTCATCTTTTCTTCCCCTTCCCCCACCACCCCCAGGTTCTCACCCCCAGCTTTGGCGCTGCTGTTGTCAAGCGCTTCGAAGACGAACGCCCCCACGTGAAAAGCGTTATAGGATTGTAAATTGTATTGCATTATTTTTCAGGGCTTTTCTGCGGGGATTGTTTTGTGTTTTGAGGAGCAGTGGGGGCGTCACTGACACAGCCTAGTTTTGTGGGTGTGTGGTGGGGTTGGGTGGGGAGTTGGGGGGGGGGGTGGGGTGGGAGGAGACATACGGCTGCCAGATCTGGGAACTAGTGGAGCTAAATCTGCCGTGAATATTCCTTTGTTGCAAAGTCTCGCCGAGTCCAAGCAGCTATTTAAAAGCCTCTGGGTGTTGAGGAGGACCGAGGTGGGTGATTGCTCAGAAATCTTTTACTCTAGAAGACAACACTGACAAGGTTCATGTACAGCACTGACGAGCTTATTACTTACAGTGACTGCTCCTGGATGCTACAGGTGTTCTCTTAACAATAAAGGTAGAGCCCCAGGCAGTACAGCAAAATACACTGATGGTTTCCTTGTGCTTTTACAGCCACGTGACGTCTACCTCCAATTACAATGGCACTGAACCACAGTTTAAGCATTTCATTTTCAAATGGTATTACGTTACCATTTGTGATGTACCAGAGATGGTTTCTTTCCCCATCCCCACATGACATGATCTAAGCCGACGCAACCCGTGGTATAATTCTAATCACGTTGGTAATGATTTTAATAACCACGCACAATAAGGTATTATTATGGTCTCATTAACTTCAACAATGATTTGTTGCGGAATGAGGCATAGCATGTCGAGTTGAATCAAGCTGTTTTGCAAAAAAATGTGGCTCCAGGAATCACACACACACAAAAAAACACGAGGTCTGTTTATTCAGATCTCTCCTTCAAAACATACCAAATGCAGTCTAGTCTGAACTGCGAACAATAAAGGCAGCAATGAACTGTATAGGGCCCTGGTAAGACCACACCTAGAGTATTGTGTGCAGTTTTGGTCTCCTTATTTAAGAAAGGATGTACTCGCCTTGGAGGGTATACAACGTAGATTCACTAGGTTGGTACCTGGGATGAGGGAGATGAGTTATGAGGATAGGTTGAGCAATTTAGGCCTATATTCTCTAGAATATAGAAGAATGAGAGGTGATCTTATAGAAACCTTTAAGATTATTAAAGGGCACGACAGAATAGATAGTGGGAGACATTTTCCCCTGGTTGGAGAAACTATAACCAAGGGCCACAGTCTTAAAATTAGGGGTAAGCCCTTTCACACTGAGTTGAGGAAAAACTTCTGCACTCAGAGGGTAGTGAACTTATGGAATTCTCTACCCCAAAGGGCTGTAGATGCTCAGTCCTTGAACATATTCAAGACTGAGATTGATAGATTTCTTGTGGATAAAGGGATTAAGGGATATGGGGATAAGGTGGGGAGGTGGAGTTAGAATAGATCAGCCATGAGCTTATTGAACGCGGGGCAGGCTAGAGGGGCCGAATGGCCTACTCCTGCTCCTAATTCTTATGTTCTTATGTCTGACTGTGTTTTGCTTTCCCCCAACCAACAGGCAGCTATGTTGAGGCTCTTCTGTTGGTTACAAGGGCTGCATGTCAACACTGTCCCATGTGACCAACTACAGCTCACACAGGGCCACTTTCAGCAGTGGAGCTTGTCATCTTTAGCTTAAACTGTGCAGTACTGCTGTAGAGACAGGGATTCAACTCCTGGCGAACTGTTGAAAACCCGTTTTGGCTCATGTGAATGAACCGTTATCACAATCTTTTTTAGGGAGATGCCTGTAGCCATATTTACACTTGATTTAAGGGACACCCCTCCCCACACCGACACAACGTTGGTATCTGTGTCTCACTTGCAAACTGGCAAACATTTGCAAACGTTATCAAGCAACACATTGGTTGAAACACCAATTGGCCAGCAATGGCTAAGGACTTTGGCTCGACCACTGAATGGAGCAAATCTGTGTTTGGTTTTAAATGAAATGAATGGAGCACAAACCGATTTCACAGTCCAGCTCAGCACAGGAAAGGAAAGGGGTTCAGAACACATCCCAGGCTTGATCTGAACAAGACAACATTTGTGGTTGGGCTTAAGCAATTCATCCCTGTAGCCAGGTCAGGAAAATGCAGTGTTACTGAGATACAGGGCAATCCTGTGACTCATTCACCCCTGAAAGCAGTGCCTGGTGAATGAATGTTACATGCTGTTGAATGGGGAGGGTGAAGTGGCGGGCTGAGGAGTGGGGTGGGGGCTTGGAGAGCAAGCTGGTTAGCAGACTTCCATCAAGGACCAAGGAGGAGCTCAGTGGTCTGATTTTTGCTACAATTGTCAGCAGAAAAAAAAACAATATCATATAATTATCTAGCGAAGGCCACTTCCACAGCCACTGCACAAACATTTAAATTTGAATTAGTACTCCATTAAGGTGATGGATTTGTGGAGCATGCTGAATATTGCAAGCTGTGTAAATGATGCCGCGGCTCACATTGAGAGAGGGGTGATGGATGTTGATAATATTGGAGTGAAGAGAAGAGAAATGCCTCTGGTATGAATGTTTGAGATGAAAACAGACTGGTCATATCCGTCACTGACGAGCTCCAAGGTCGAATGTGACTGGGGAGTACAAGATCCAGATGCCGTTTATCAAAGCCTACTGGGAAGTTGTGCTATTAACTCTCTCTGACTCAGGACGTTTTCCTGAAGTAAGAGCAGCATTTGCCGTCCTCTGAAATTCGCACCGTCTTTGAACCTGCTTCCTCGTGTAACAGAGGCCAGAAGCTCGGAAGTGCACTCATGGCCTTATCCTCGAGACCGTTGTCTTAAAATGGAGGAAAGTGCAGGAAGGATCTGAAGCTATTTTACAAAGGGAAAAGCTTCAGAATAAGAGGCTTTCAAGTGAAGACATAATTTCTTAAGAATATTTTAAAACTTCTTCACGATCTTAAATTTTGAAACATTGGCCTCAGGGCTTTTGTTTGTCCACAAATTATAGTCAATTCACTTTACAGTACATCCTGTGAAGCGTTTCAAGACATCTGAACGGCGTGATAATGAGCTCTTTCAATTGCAAGGATCATTATTATTACTTTTAACGGCTTTGTGACTTTTTTTATCATGCCTATACTCCTCCGTTTCACTGTGGCAGCCAGCCTGCTTTTGCGGACATCTGTGGCTGGCACTCCTTGCCTGTGGGAAATCTTAACGTGTCAGATCTCTCCTTCCCGCCCCGAGACAAGCATCCCATTGTCGTGTAACACTTCATCTCGTGGCATAAACAAGACCGACTAAATTCACTCGCTCAAATGGTGATAAGTGAGACTGGAGCCTTCAACCATCTGCTTGGGAGGCAGATGCTTTAGTGCTTGTGCTACCGGGCAAATATCAATCCCTCGACACTCAACAACAGGCACCGTCAGTCTACTCTGCTAAAAAAAACTGAAAGATGAGCTAAGGGGATACTTTATGATCCAGTTTACTTTAGATTCAGTTTGAACTCGAGAGGCTTAAAATGCCTCCTGATTTTAGCTTGAAGAACCATTGCTAGTTTCACTTGATCAAAGATATCTTTGCAAGGATGTTATCTTCCGATTTGTAAAATACATGGAAGAAATGTCCTAAGGAAAGTATTTTGGAAGTAGCAGTATTTAAGTAAGAAAGCGATTTGGACAAAAATATACAATTTAGTAACAGAAATATAATGTATTCCTTATAGACACTGCATTATAGTTTCTATAGACTAGCATTCAGATTAGTTTTCAATATCCTCTGTATTGTTTAACTATAAAATATGTTATTTATTTGGATGAACCTAAATGTCAGTTTAATGTTGTCAAGCCTTTTGCCAATATCACCCTTGTTAACCACAGTCTCTCTTATACTTACTATGTTCAGCTGACAGCTCCAGTGATGAGGAAGATGAGGAGGGCGGAGATGATTTTGTCACTGTGGAGTTTGATGATGGGGATGTAGGACGCATTTCACTATCAAATATCCGGCTCCTTCCACCGGAATACAAAATACAATGTGAGTAGCATCGGGGAAACAAACCAATGATGGAATGCCCATTTTTTAATTTAGCGACTTGCTCCCTACCTCACCTCGTTCAAGATGCATCTCAAGATCTATCTCCTTGACTGCACTTTCGTTACCTTTTCCCTGCCCATCCCTCTCGGCTCCCACCCCCAGCTCGGGTGCCCAGTCAGGATTGTTAAGCACCTAGGACGTCCTCCCAGAGTGAAAAGCAATATATATAAATTGTATTGTCAAAGAATTCCCATTTATTTGTTTATTGAAGGATTGCCCATCTATTTGACCGCAAGATACTTTCAGACTCAGAGGAAAATAACACTCAAATAGCCAATAAATCTTTAGGAGAAATATTGATTAACTTATTCAGTCATTTCTTTATCTCTATACATTGCTCATTTATTTGTGGATTCTGTTAATTTGTCTGAATATTATTTTGGGGGTAACACTTCATCAAACCTTGATTTTTTTAAAAAAAGAGATATAAAGACCGACTGCAAAAATAAAACAAAACAGTCTGGTCGGAGATCAGCCTTATTTAAGTTCTCTGATCAGCCTTACTTGAGTTTCCCCTCCGTTGTCTTTTCACCCCTAAATGTAACAATATATTTCATTATTAGTGCAGATTATTTTCACCGTATCTTATCAAAGAGAGAAATGAAACTAAATTCTGACGCTCCGAATTACGCACCAAGTAAATTAACTTGGGGGAAAGAGGGAAAAACAATTCCAACGCTAAAAATATGCACGTGCAGGAGACTCCACACATCACAAGTGTGAAAGGCCCATAATTCACAGCACCCCAAGCGAGTGAGGGAATTATGCAGCCACTTGGTCTGTGTGAACGATCACCTCTATTTGCCACTCCCCGGTGAGCCAATTATTTTTCCCGTTCCCATTGTTCTTGATAGCAGGTATTGCGCTAAAGTTTTAGGCATTACTTGCTGCATTATTTGGAGGTTTGGCACGCATGCAAGCTGTTTACGTCTCGCTAGGGAACTAGTAACAGCGGTTTAATAAAAAAAATTGTTGAAACATTTAAGACTTAAATCAGTGACAGTGTTAAAAACTCATTTGCGCTAATAGTAAATCCACGACTGTGTGCAGGACACTGCTGCGCGCAATTGGCTGCCGCATTGTGCCCACAAAATACACAGTCACTCCACTTTACAATATATTCTGTGAAGCGCTTTGAGACGTCTCGAAGACATGATAAGGCGCTATATCAAATGCAAGGATTATTATTATTATAAAAGGCACAGCTTAATCTTTGGCGGTAATATGAGTGAGGGTGGTAATATTTGGGGTATGTATAACGGAAAAAAGGAAACTTTGATTCTTTTTGCATGAGGCTAAATTTCAGCCTACGCTTTTAGAGCTGGGTGATGGGTGGAAAGCGTACCAATGCTAAAAGCAAAAATCAACCGTTTGCTCTGTGGGTATTGTAACAGGTACAGAACCTTCTCCCGCTCTGCTGGTATCGAATGGGAGGCGACGGATCAGGAGATTCTGCAATGAGAAGCAGGAAAGTGCGGAAAGCAGTTTCCGTCCGGTTCGACAACATTCCCTGCAATTGAACAAAACCCTTGGGAGAAAGACTTCAGTAAAAGGAAAAGCTGGTGAGTTTATCTTAGACAAGATACAGTCATTATTTGCCAGTATTTGTATCAATAAAGCAATCGCACTGCACAAAATTTCACGTAAATGGAAGTGACTTGCTTATCAGATCTACTTTACAAACTACACAACGTAAAGATCTGTGTCACGGCTGGTCTATTAACAAATATTGGTAAATTGACTGCATGCTTGTGTGTTCCCCTATGTTGTTTATAAGCAAACTATATTCCAGATAACTAAAATAGTACATTTAAAGTGGTCAGTGTACAGTATAACCGAGACTCCTGCAGGTTTGTTCAGTAAAACTAGTTATAATAACATTATGAAATAATAATAATAATGTGTCAATCAAGCTCATTCAGATGTTTGTGTTTGATTCCTTACCATCAATTAAGGTTATTACAACACTAATAAGTCACCATCCACAAAGCCCCATAATGTTACTATCTGTTACTCTCCTTTGTGAACAATCCACCAGGGAAGGTAAGACTTAGTTTGGCAAAAAGGCTGCTCTTCCAGTAGAGAAGAGCAATTGACCAAATGTGCGTTGGAAGTTACAGAAGTTTGGCTTTCTCTTGAGTTTTTTTTGAAAAAAATAATTATTACATCAAGTAAAAAAAAAACAGATAATGATAGTCCTAGTGAAATGTAAACAAGGACCAGGAAATGATCCGATGTTCCTGCGGTGAATAGGAATCAAGTAGGAAAACAGACTTTACAGAGATTTCTTGTTGAAGGAAATAACAAATCTTTTTGGCAGTGGATGTGATGCAGTGGCCAGGACAGCAGACAGGGTCCAGTGTATACTGACTGCTCTGCTGAAACTAAATATGACTCACTGTATATATTTTGACTATTTTAGAAGTCAAACAACTGCAATAAATGCAAATTAATTCAAGGCTGTAAAGATAGTTGGCTTGAATATACAGCAGAAGGGAACGACCCTCCCTTTTCTTGGCAACCAGGCTGAGACTACAAAGACTAGGTAGCTGTAGTGCCTATAAAAGACATATGGTTGGATGGCTCACTCTTAAACACAGGTTCCGTCCCAAAACAGATAAAGTAAATTCAAACAGTCATAGTAGTATAAACACTAAGCAGAATTAGCTGAGGAGCAAACACAAGTGGAAGTATAGTTTTGACTATTTCGCATCAATTTACATGAGTCTGCAATACAACAACAACAACAACAAGATTCCATTTATAAAGCGCCTTTCACGTCAGGAGGACGTCCCAAGGCGCTGCACAGTTGGGTCATGACCCGAGCAGGGGGGAAATGGTCAGGGTGAGGGGAGGGAAGGGAGGGAGAGAGGAGGGGGGAAATGGTCAGGGTGAGGGGAGGGAAGGGAGGGAGCGCGGAGGGGGAAGAGAGTCGAGAGGGGAGCTGAAGGCACGGTCAAAGAGAAAGGTTTTGAGACCGGCCTTGAAGGAGGAAAGGGAGGAAGCGGCGAAGGCACTGGGGGATGGAGTTCCAGAGCCTCGGGGCTGAGAGGCTAAAAGGAAACTTTCGTTCCAAATAGTATTGGAATGACAGAAGGTCGGAATAGAAACTGTTATGCATTGGCATCATATGTGTATGCCCATAGCTAGCAATTGTGGCCTTCAAGTGTGTCCACTACATGACTAGATTTCTATATTACCACAATGTTGAAATCCCATTGTAATTGTCGAGGCTCCCTCCAGTTCATCCACCTGCTGTGCTAATGACCGATAACAAACATCCAATAGTGCGTGTAGCCTTAGCACTAATAATCCTTGCATTTGATGTAGCACTTTATAGATTAAAGAGGTTTAATCTGAACTCTGAGAGCTGGTATGTTTCTGGTTCTGGACCAGGTGCTGCTATTTAGAAGTGTTTTGTATAGTGCCTCGGGACATCCTCCCGGCGTGAAAGGCGCTGTACAAATGTAATCTTGTTGTTGTTGTTGTTCAGAGAGCACTATCCTTGTAATTGGTTGTCTCAAGCAGCGTTTACAGAAGTTCCACTGCAGTTCCCCGATGCTGTTGGTGCTGCGTATTACCCCCATTCACATTGTAGGCCAGAATCCATAGCACTCGTAGCAAGGAAATAAGTCAATCACATGTGCAGTTTGAAAAGCCAACAATTCTGATTGTAGTTTCTGATTTGCTTACTGGTTAGGGAAGGTGTGTACAATGATGCTTCGCCCACACAAAATACCCAGTCAATACACTTTACAATATATTCTGTGAATCGCTTTGAGACATTTCAACAAAGTGTGTTACATCAAATGCAAGGATTATTATTATTATTATTATTATTATTATTACTACAAAGGATTGCGAACACCAATCTGCTGGCTTCTTCCTTCAGCCAGATCTCGAGGTGGTGGAGGGGTGGTGCTCTGTTATTTTGTTGCCTCCAAAGAAGCAGGGCAGAAACACACCTCAGGATGGGGTGGTCTCCAGTTGGCATCCCATTCATCAGTGACACAATATATACAACCGTATTTGGTACCTTGTTTGAGCGCTTAGATGTTCTCTCCCTTGGAACAGGCGGGATAACATCTAAGTGCTCAAACCAGAGAGTAAGGTTAATTTTTCAGGCTACACTTCTTTTTCACAGAGTATTTAATGCTGCTGGCTAATGTGTTTATTTATTACTCTATTGGAAAGGACCTTTGCTTTTCCACTACCTGAAATAATAATAATAATCCTTGCATTTGATATAGCGCTTTTCACATCGGGAGGACGTCCCAAAGCGCTTCACAGAACACACTGTAAAGTGAATTGGCTGTATATTTGTGGGCGAACGCGGCAGCCAATTGCGCACAGCAATGTCCCATAAACAGTCGTAGATTGAAAATGACTAATTTTATTTTTGGTTTTGGAGGGATTATTATTAGGTGTGTGGAGTAAGGAAACTTGTCCAAGGTTTCGCCCTGGAATTGAACTCAGGTCTCTCGCTTGCAAAGCAAGTGCTCTAACCACTGAGCTACAGGACTCCGAAATCAAATGCTCTGGGCATTGGACAAGAATCCAGAGTACAAATTGACAGCCTCTTAGCTAATTGAACATCGTTTAACATTTTGTAATATTACCTTCTTTACAATATCACCGTCTACAACTATTGAAGTAGTTCAGGATGAAGTGGGTTGAGAAGACTTATGTTAACAAAGCTTGTTTAACAGGAAAAACAATCTTTAAAACCTTTAGGAATAATAACAGGATTAATGGTATTTCACTGTAAGGATTACCGATGTATTATGATACACTAACTGTGCTTTACATGNAAAAAAGTATCATCGTCTATCGCTGTGGTACCTTAATCCATGTAAAGGAATGACTCATAAGCTTTTGTAAAAATGTTTTCATTGTCAAACAAAACAAGACAAGGATGTTCATTGTCCTTTTCTTTTTCCGAAGGAAAAGGAGTTTTAAATTCAGAGGTATCGACTTTGTTGAGAGCGGGACATGTGCTCGGTAAGAAGACAGATGCACTAATAAACTGGCCTGGGATTGCCCAGACAAAGAAAAAGGCCTTGAATAAGAACACGGCTATTTTAGAAAACCTCTTTCAGTTAAACGGAAGCACAAGGAGGATGAAGGTTAAGGAGAGATTCCTTCCTATGCATGGTCTTCCTCGGCCTGTGTTCAGCAGTGGGTTTGAGGTTGACTCTTTCAGCAGCATTGCCAACACCTTTGGAGCCTTTTGGTGGCAGCCCAAGTCTGGCAGCAAATCCTAAGCCATTGAAGTCCAGAAAGGTGGAAAAGCTGGACATGTTGGCACCCAAAGGTGGGAGGAAAAAATCAGGAATGGAATTCCTTGTCAAATTAGATCACGAGGGGGTGATGTCTCCAAAAACAAAAAACGGAAAAGCCTTACTGATGAGCGAGAAGGAGTTTGGAGTCAAACTCAACACTGGCTATTCGCAGTCGGTGTTGGTCAGTAAAGACAGGAAGGGGAGGGTAGACCTTCTGAAAGGAAAACATGCTCAGCTTCAAAACCTTCCACTCAGATTAGCCATGACCGAGTACACCGGTCAGTCAGACTTCCGCATGGATTGTGACAGTGACAGTCATAGTTCCTACTCTGATATGGACGACGAGGATGAAAATGGGAACTTACGAGACAGCGTCACGTCTAGATATATGTCCAGGTTGTCCGTCTCTTCATCATCATCTGCATCTTCATCCTCTTCAACATCTGGTTCTACCTCCACATCCAGCTTGTGTTCGTCAGACAACGACGACTCATCCTACAGCTCTGACGATGACTCAACGCTCTTGCTTCAAACTTGTATGACCCACCCTGTGCCTGCAATGCTGGCGCCCTCTGAGCCATTACAAACAGAGACAAAAATGTCACCGCACTCTTTCTCAGCGAAGTCTGTGATGCCTACTAATAAAGCCAAGCTAAAGAGACAGGAGGAATTGAGTCTTCAAAAGGCCAAGGAGCTGGCAAAGAGGCAAAGATTACCATCTGTGGAAAATCGTCCAAAAATCTCTTCCTTTCTGCCAGCACGACAGCTCTGGAAATGGTCTGGCAAACCAACTCAGGTACAGTTTCTATGATATTTATTCCATATGTTTCTCATGCTGATGCCAACCTTTCTTGTCCCCAAATACAATGAGGTGCCATATATAACATGTGGAATTGTGTAGCTTGGCTTGAGTCCCCGGGTTGTGCATTTGACACCACCACACCATGAAAGGAAGACATTCTCTATCTCTCCCTGGCAGGAGGGAAGGGACATGTCTGGTGTATCCAGAGTCATAGCTGCTCCTTTGGCAAATCTATTTAAGTGGGTTGAACTACACCGATCCAGCCTTTAATTTATGTTGCCCTCCCCGTATGATAGATTGCCTCTCTTCTTGTCTTGTAGTCCATTGAGAAGCTTTGTAACCAATTGACGAAACTTACCCAACTGAGGCAAATACATTATAGCGATATTCCATGGGACTTAAATCCATTTGATTATATGTCAAGCTCCTTATGCATTTATACTATGGCACCTTTGTTAATTGTCCTTTTCAAAAATGCAAGTGGTCTGGTCTACTCAGAATTGATTCATTTCAGCTGGGGCTGCAGAGAAGATCCTATAGTCAGTGTTAGCTTCATTGGACAGAGTAGAGGGAATTAGGCAGGACTTATGCTTCTGGTCCAAAGACCTCTACGAGAAAATCCATCTATATAGATGTTAAGAGATTGCAACTTGGCTGTGATGCCTCACCGCTCAGTTAATAACTCTTCTGAAATTCATCACCTCGTCTTATCCATTGTTTATTTTCATGAGAAACCTAAGGTAAGGGCCAAGGCTGAAATTGATGGACCAACACATTGAAAAGAGTAGGAGGAAAGATTAGATACATTACGAAGTCATGGTTAGCTTGATGCCAAGCTTCGAATTTGTGTGGGGTACAATCCAGAAGGCTGTAATTTCTAAAGGGACTTCTCTGAGAAAACGGGAGTTTATTATCAGCTCTGTGGGACTTATTTTAAGACCTGTTTTATTTACAGAGGCGAGGTATGAAAGGAAAAGCAAAGAAACTTTACTATAAAGCCATTGTGAGAGGGAAAGAGACCATTTGTGTGGGAGACTGTGCTGTGTTCCTCTCTGTCGGACGCCCAAACCTGCCGTACATTGGTCGGATAGAAAGCATGTGGGAATCTTGGGGAAGCAACATGGTAGTGAAAGTGAAATGGTTCTACCATCCCGAAGAGACAAAACTGGGCAAGAAATCCAATGATGGCAAGGTGAGAAGCACTTCCATTGATGGACATAATTATTGGATTTACCTTTGAAACTCTGGCAATTTATTGAGCCTGTTGTTATAATATATAAGCCTTGCATTTGCTATAGCGCCTTATCACGTCCGTTGAGACGTCTCAAAGCACGTCACAGAATTTGATTTTATTATTATAAACTTTATTATTATAAATAATTTATAAATATTTATCATTATAAATAATAATCAAATTGCATTTGATCAAAATGTGATCTAAAATTATAAATTCAGAGTTTTTAACATTGCAGTTTACTAAAGATCCCCCTTTTTAAGTAAGCTTTAAAAAAAATTCTTGTTTAACTTGAGGTCTTATGTCAGGAAAAATGTGCGTGCTGTTTGTGAAAACTGTGGGTATGAAGGTTAAAATAAAAGCTAAGGATGTGTTTTTACTATGCACGTTTAAGATCAACTTTGTAAATCAAGCCAAATAGCTTTTCTAGCCACAGCTCAAAATTCAGCAATGTTTTGTTTATTTTAACATTCAAATTAAGTTTATTTTTTAAAAAGAAACACAGGCAAAGAGGAACGTTCAGTGCTGTAGCAAACTAGCAAACTGTTTGCTTAACTCTGGGTTTGAATCCAGTCAGAATGATGAGCTGAAAGGTCTTTCTCTGGAACCTTCAAGGATCATATGTGTTTTAGCTGGTCTTGTCCAATGATGATGACCATCCTTATAAAAGCCACAATGGTTTATAATAATAATATAATAATAATCTGTGCATTTGATATAGGGCCTTATCACGTCTTTGAGACGTCTCAAAGCGCTTCATGGAATATACTTTAAAGGGAATTGACTGTATATTTTGGGTTGGAAAACTGGACGAACCAAATGGTTGCAAAAGGGGTCCTCCTCTGAGATTGAGGCCAAGGCATATGGAGACTAATTGATGGTATTTCTTAACAGATTTCATAAGCAAATGTGTTGACAAAAGCAACTATACAGTGCCTATATCTTATCATTTGCTGGTATCACTCAGGGTGCTATTATGTGCGGCTTTGACTCAGCAGTCAACTGTAATGCATTGCTCGAAAGGGTGGTGGAAGCCGATTCGATAACAAATTTTAAGAGAGAAGTAGATCATTATTTGGGGAGGACAAGTTTGCAGGGCTATGGGGAGAGCACGGGGGAGTGGGATTGATTTGAGTAGCTATTTTCAAAGAGCTGGCATAGTCACGATGGGCCGAATGGCCTCCTTCTGTGCTGTATGATTCTTTGAACAGTGAAGTATCAACCCAACTGTATCCTGTTTAAAGGCAATCCCACAGTGCCTTAGATATCACTGTGGTCATTTGGAATTGCTATTGAATGGTGTCTCTTGTATTAATAATGGGATCTAATGAAATACTGCATTAACAGTTTGAAGTTAATACATAACACTGTGCAAAGAAACTTTAAAAGTTGCCAATTACCAACATGTAAGACCAGCAACACCAACAAAACCTCTATTCTAATGTATTTTTTTATATTGCCATTTCCAGAGAGCTTTGTACCAATCTTGCCACGAAGATGAAAACGACGTGCAAACCATCTCCCACAAGTGCCAGGTGGTCAACCTGGAGCAGTACGAACAAATGATAAAAACCAAGAAATACCAGGACAGTCAAGACCTTTATTACCTGGCAGGAACCTACGACCCTACAATAGGCAGGATTCTTAATGCAGATGGAGTACCCAGTCTCTGTTAAAAAAAAAGAAACACTTAAATGTATAAATTAATATAAAGCCTGGATTTGCACCACACTAACAGGGACTGAGTAACTACTCTGTTTAGAAACAAAAATAACTAACCTAATGAACTTTTCTGATGATGCAAGATGGACTGGATCTGGAATTATGCTCTCTAGTAACTCGAAGCTCAAGTACGCAATCCTGGAATCACGGCAGCGAGGCCTCCAGGGGTCGAGCAGAAAGATTTTTTGGAAACACAATGAGGACTAAGCCTTCAAGGATCAGTAATACTGGATTTACCAAAGTGGAATCCTTGGGGCATCAACAGGCTGGAACTTCTAAGCATCAATGGGTCGACCAGGCTGAATTTGCACATGAGACAAGTAGGCCTCAAAGAATAAAGAGGAGTTAGGATTTTGTGAGATGTGAGAGCTGGGCCTCAAAAAAAAAATCAAGAAAGCTGGAATGGACACATGGGAACTAGACCTTGATCAGATTGGGTTTCGACCATGGGTCATACAGCATGGAATTTATTTCAGTGTGTGTGTGTACGTATGTGTGGGTGTGTGCGTGTCGACTGGAGAAAGGAAAAGCAAGCATCATACAAGCCATACACTCCCAGTACCTCTGTCTGCTTTCAGCTTTGCAAAGCAGAATCAGGTCTAATGTGTTTTTCTTTTGTTGTTGTTGTTACTTTGTTTCCTGGAGAGTTTTGTAAAAACCCAGGANTTTTTTATAATGCACTGCATTACTCAGCTCAGCTGAGACCGTGTTTGTTAGCTGGAACTTCTGAAGAAGAAAGTAAAAAAAAAAGAGATTTGTCTTTTAAGAAGACTGTTTTCTGAAAGAAGCCACAAAGCAGTTTGTTGCGTCATTCAGTCCTATTAATACTAACCTCTTAAGTGAACAGTTATTGAGAGTGAGTTTCATTCGCTCTTTCTGTTGGATAAAACAGTTCATTATTTTTTAGTCGTGGGCAAAGAAAGTTACGATCCCTATCACTGAAAATTGGATTCAATTCCATATACATGTAGGGAACAGTTCCCTCCATGTTGCACAAATGTTAAAGAGGCAGTCTCCCTTTTATTGATCAATGTCGACAATCCACTGAAACTTTCAATGCTCAGTACAACTGCAAGTCTCACAGAAATTAACGGGGTTGGAAATTTAGAGCAAATCCGCTCGTAACACATACATTAAGTTCTCGGTCCTGAAAACAATGGGGATGATACTTACCGGAAGAAATGGAGGATGAATAATAGTGTGTTTTGGTTTGTCATTTAAAAAAAACGCAGTGACTTTACACAGCACATGTAACCCATGAGACTTTGTGTTAAGTGGGTTGTAATGATCTCCCGAGGCATTGAATTTTTCTGTAAACAACCATCCAGCAAGTGATTTATCAATTATATCATATAGTTTGTAGCTGGAAGTGATGGCAGCTCATAATGTCTGATTGTGTGGGTAAACTGGAAAATAACGCAGGATTAATTTGAACACCAGTCTGTTTGATCCTTGCAGCCGTACGTTTTAATTCATCAACTTCAGAAGGCCAACAAAATCAAAGGATGCTGGCTCTTTAATAGACCAAGCTACTCTTCTCTGACGTAAGCTGTTCAGCTGTGACTGTGCTGATGGCATACACTGTAGGCAACAAAGCAAATGCTTACTGAAGGACAACCCAATAAAGATGGCAGAGAAGTATCTCCCTCGACTACATTTTAAGGCAATAGAATAGGTATAGGTATATAGGTATATCAACATGCTTATTTTTCATAAACCTCTATGGAATACCTCACATGAGGACCAGAAGTATTGGGATGCAAGCCAGTGCGCTAGGCAGCCTTCGGTAAACATTGAAGGCAACTTATTTTCTAATGCAACACCCAAGGATTGTGGTTGATCCTGATAGGGCCAGGTTTCTGGAAGCGTCATATCTATTTAAAGTGATCGGCCTATTTCAGAATGGCTGCCTCCCAACATTTAAAAAAAAACAGCTACTTCTGACGAGCACCTTGCATTATGGACATAGAGCTACAGTTGGTCCTATTAGAGTGAGCAGGAAAAGTCAAAAGTGATTGGGCTTTTTGAAAACAAACCTAACGTAAAGCAGGATTCACCATTACTGGCTTAGCGAGAAAGAGATCGACCTACGTATAGGACAATCAGCATGAGGAAGTGAGTTTTTCTTGAAAGCCTTGTTGCCTCAATGTGATTTATTATTTGTAATTTTTTTTAAAAGGTTGTTTTTCGAGTTTGCCAAACTGAAAGAGCACGTTCCATCTGTGCGAGGGTCCTCTTTTGTTACGTTTCTTCTTCCGATTACATTCAGGAAAAGGGGGGAAAATGCTGGATTTTAGGGTGTTACAACCGTAGTTGATTGCAGGAAAGCTTCCGTTGGTGTGTCAGAGATTTGTGAGGGCATTACGATAGATCTTGTAAATGCACAGTGGAGTGCTCAGATCATTAATCCATCGTTAACTCCTAAGAAGGCAAAAAACATGCCATCATCACATGAGTTGGCAGTGATAAAGCTGGTCAATGGAATACCATTTGATATTCCATCACTAAATTGAACAGTGATAGAAAATGGAATAGGGATGTCCACAGAGGTCCTGCGGAACATAGAATTACACAAGACTGTCACTCCTGTATGCCTGTGGAGACTTAATCCTGGGACAAACAGTGTACTCCCTCTGTACTGGTGGAGTATTCACATCCTGCCTATCTCTAGGAAAGGCAAAATGCCCTTGTATGTTTTATGAGATGCCACAATGGTTTTCCAGGGAAGCAACACAATCACTTAGCAAGGCATTAGTAGTCCTGAACTCAGAAAGGTGCTACTTGTATCCTCTTCAGTGGCCTCCACTTAGTTTGTTACGCAGAGTGAACAAAACCCAGAGCATCTCAATGCAAGGCTGACATTCTGTTGGTGCAGGAGATGGAGCAGTGGTTGGAACAGCTTCATGTTCACGTTGCCACGCATTGTGATGGTGCTGGGTGATCAGGACGCATCTCAGTGTAGTAGAATGATTGAAAAGCGGTTTGACTCCCGCTACTTGTTGGTAAGCTTTTCAGCGAGTTTGTAAAGTACAACCTGCCTGGTTATCATAAAAGGGATTCTGTCTCCTTATATAAGAAAATCACAACCACAGTTTACAAAAGTTGTTTAAAACTTTGAGTTAATGTTTTGATACTGCCTGACAGGTTATCAATGTAATATTTTGTTGCCTTTCAAACACTAATATGTTGTAAAAGTTCTTTTTATATGTATATATATATATATAAAAATATATACACACACAGTATATAACTGTTGCATCTCAGTTCTTCGGGATTTTTTTTTCTAATGTTTTTAATGCTTTAGTCTGAGCACCAGCGTGGAGAGACAGACATGTAGGTACCGTGGATTTCAAGAATAAAACATTAGCTTAGTCGTGACACCTCATGTGGTTTTGCATAAATATAACTGCCCCTCCAGAAGGATTATTTCCATTTGCCTGTTTGCATGTCAAAAAAAAATGTGTTCACCGATCGATTGCAGTTTGCTTTTGTGTAGTCAGAAAAACTTTTCGACGTCCAAACCGTTTTCACACTGACGACTGTGTATTTTTAACGTGTGGCCTGGTGCAGTGAGGTCTCACAATGTCACACCCTGTGTTTTCAGTGGGTCAAAGCAGACTGAGTGGTTCCATAGCAGGCGTCGGAAGGTTAAGAGAACCAAGTTTTATACAGTTTTTTGATGCTTTGGGGTCTTATGGAAAATACTGAATGGAGAGAGTTAACTTTTTTTATTTGAAGAACAAATGACCGATTGTTTAAATTTTAAGATGTATAATATCCTTAGGTGAAATTATTGTTGTCCCACAACCCCAGCTCAGTGGTTTTAAAGAAGCAGTGTTGTCTGGAATTTCTTGGCTTCCAAGCCAAACATTGATTGATTGATGATTGATTTTCTTTTTTTTTAAAAATCACACGATCAAAACGATGTCGTCACAGGTGAATGTAAAGTACTAAGATCGCCGCAAATTTTTCACAGCAAAGACGGTTGAGACCCTTCTGAATGTGCCTCATCATTGCATTAACTGGCTTTAAAAACAATTAACCGTACATATGGAGATGGGCTACATCATTGCTGGCTCTGGATTGACCACCAAGCTGTATGTAGACTCACATTGCTTGCTAAGGCATACTGCAATCTCAAACTTGTAAACCCACTGAAATTCCTGATAGCGATGTCTTTTTTTGAGGTACAGAGTATAACAGGGACCCAGCTTAACCGAGAGGACCCAGCTCTTTATTGAAGGGTTTGATGAGTGTGGCCTTGTATCTAAATTAAAACAAAGACGGGGGTAGGAGGGAGAGGCGGAGGGGGATGAGGGGTTGATTAACGAAGAATAATGTGGATGCAACCCTCTCTCCTCCAATAGTAAGGTCCAGCTGTGCTCCAAAATGGTACTTGATGTGATGTCCTCATTGGATCAATCTGTTAGGACGTTTTGTTACTTACTTGTTCAGTCCAGTGACACGAGTGCAATACTTCCTCACTGTGGGCTGGGTTTTCGCATTGTTTTTCCTCCTTTTTTTGTTGTTGTTGTTCATGAATTGGCGGCTTCTGGAGACTGGAATTGTGATGCATCGTAAGAAATAATGGGCAAGTGAGACGCAGGACCGTCTGAGACTTTGCTCAATAGTGTTTTAATCCTACAAGTGGTTAGGAGAAGTTTAAGAAAAAAAAGTTATACATTAAAAACTACAATATTACAGAGTTATTTACTAGATATTAAAATATTTTGAACTGAAAGCCCAGGAGATGTTTTTTTATGCCTGTCGATTTTTTTTTTTTTTTAAATTTTTTTTGTTTCGTTTTGAGTTTTTTTTGTTGAAATGGAAGGAACTGTTATTCTAAAAAAAAGTGTTTAAATGTAGTAAAAAAAACTATTGTAAATGTGTAAAGTATGAACATGGTCTTGGTTTTTTTGTGTAAACACTAAAAAAAAATAAGTTTTATGGACACGATCTCTATGTAAAAGCATTTTAGTATTAAGATTTTTATAGATAACTTTGCTTCTGAATAAATATTTTAAAAAATGTTTGGTAAGTGTGTCATTGTTTGGATGCTGTGTGTGCTGAATATCCTCTGCAGTCATTTGGAGAGCACTTAGTCCAGGGTGACCCTCCAGTGCAGTGTCGGGGGAAACCCTACATTGTTGGAGGTGTCGTCCTTCAGATGAGGCATGAAACCAAAGTCCTGTCTGCCTGTTCAGGTGGATGTGAAAGATCCCATGGCACAATTCTTTAAGAGAAGAGAGCTTCTCCCAGCGTCCCGGCCAACAATCCCCCAGATACAATCAGGCATTCACTTCACAGCTGTTTGTCGATCATTGCTGTGCACAATTTGGCTGCCGCATTCATTTACAAAATCCACAAGTCACTGCACTTCACAGTGAATCCTGTGAAGCACTTTGAAATGGCCACCCAATGTAAAAGGCACTACATAAAATGCAGAGATTATTATTTATTTGATTTGATTTACTGCATTGTTTTACTAACCTCTGCAACTCTACCGCTGTCTTCCCCCATTCCTCTAACAGTCTTTAAATCCACCTAAACCTATCTTTTTGACCATGTCTATGGTCACCTCCCTCATCTCGCTTCCCCTCTCCCTTGCTCAGTGTCAACCCTTTCTTTGTGAAGCTCTCCGAGATGTTATCCTTCATGACAGATGCTATATAAATGCAAGTTGTTGTCGCACTGTACTTCGCCTCTGCTTTGCCTTGATTGCACATTCAAAATGTACCTTGCGCGATAATAACCTTGCATTTCGTAGAACACCTCAACTCAAAGCTCTACACAGGAAACCAACCGCTGTGTATGGTAAATAAATGTATATTTGTGGAATATATATATGTGTGTAGCAGGCAATTTGCTGCGATGCCCTGCTAAGAAGTATTATTCCAATATAAATCTAGTGCTGACTGAAGACTGCCAACCAACTCTGTGACTATCTGCTCTGCACAACTGTTGAGTCTAGTAGAGATTTGGCAAATTGGAAAGCATGAGACAGATTGGTGTGGGGGTAACGGGTTGGTCATAGTATTCTTGTCTAAACAATGACTCATCAACAGTCCCGCAGACAGTTGTTTTTGATCTGACTCCTGCACTGCTGAATGGGATTTGAAAGCCAATTTTCAACTCCAGTAATTTGGTCTGGCGTTTCGAAACCTGCACCAGAGGAATCCCAGGAGATTGCAAATTCATGTCTCCTGCTAAACATGTAGTAGGTACCAAGAGGAATAAGAGTTGTGTAAGCAGTGACTGAAGGTGACCACAGAATCCTCAACCTACCAGGTCTTGTGGTCGGTCTTCAAGTAACATGTCTCTTGATCATTATTAGTAAGCAGCATTGCCTCACTGCACAGAGAAGTGCAGCAAATAGAGTATATCCAGTAACTATGATCAAGCAGCATGCAGTCTAAGCTCAAGTCCAGGAACTCCTTGGGGTGTACATGATCTGTACACTCACTTTCCCAACTGGAGTGAGCTCTACCTGTAGAAGTCCTTTCGCAGATGAGATTTTCACTGAGTGCAACAGTAAAGCATTGCTGGTTCGGCTCCTTCAATTCAAACACATTCAAGACACAATTCCTGCAGCCGGGTACCCTGTCTATCCACAAGCAAAGGTGGTGTGTGCTGATCTCCCCTAATTTTCCTTACAAGTCAATCGAGCAGCGAGGCAGAATGTTGTCTGCGTATCCCAGTCATGTGCACGAGAGCCTTCACATTTTCCAGTCGCTTCAGGAATTTAGGACAGGTTGGCTATTTTGCAATCAAATGTTACATATTATTGGGACCAAAGATGGTGTTTTGCAGCTAAGATCTTCATCTGTTTGGTTCCAGCCGTGCCCACTGCAGAGCTAGTTCAGCACCAAAAACAGATCACGAGATCTTTGATCATGAAAACAAAGGATTCTTCTGTCTCCCATTGCAGAACATGGTGAATATTGTACCAACCCTTATCCTTTGACCACAAAATGACCTTACAATTTGGGAGTTCACTGGGGGCATTACCATATGCCTTTATTTCCTAGCTCATTATGCGGAGATGTATTTGATTAAAATACTTTACGGTAAAATTGAACACGGATTTGATCTGTCATAAAGCATTTCTATTTGATTGCATTTTCTCTTGCTAGGGCCTGTGACAGTTTCAACCTCTAACTAATGGAGATGCTTCCTGGAGTTTTTGAAACGCTGAAAGTTGTCAGGAGAGAAATGGACAAATGCGTAGAGATCACTTCTTATATCAAAACATGCATTTATATCTTTAGTTATTATAACACTGTCACTGGATCGCTCCAATAGAGACTGCATTGGTTGTGAATTTTTGCAGTTATTAGCATGGGTGGCTCAGGGACCCAGTGGATGATATAAACTTGTACAGGTGCAACAACTTATGGTTGATTAAAGAGCTGAAACCACACTTGATTAAAATTTATCACTGTTGGTTAACCATTAAAATAACTGTTACTGCCTCTGACCTTTGCTGCAGTCACTCTGTATTGATCCCTTGCTTTAACTAAGAGAGAAGTGGTAAGTCTCGAACAGTATTTGTGTCCGTGAGAAATGTAGCTAACCTGACTTAAGCACAATGCTGATCTTAGGATATTGGGTTGCTGGAGGGAATTTAGTGGCAGGATAATAGGATTTATTCCCAAATTTAAGGGACAGAGCAAAGAGAAACGTTCGGCTTCCCTGGGATGTTCTCTCGATACAGAGAAGACCAAAGGAGACGATGATATGTTTAATGAAAGGTTTGCACAACTTAAATTCGGGTCTACTTTCTGCTTCTGCCAAAGTATAAGACCAAGGGCTTTATTTTGTCAAACAGAAGAGAATAGGAAAAGCAGAAGATTTTTTTCTTAGCAAAAGGGTAATAGACAAGTACCAACAGTATAAGGAACTACCAAAGGTATCAAAGAGGAAACAGACAAGTTCCTGTCAACCAAAAAGATTCAGTTATTAAGATTTAGAGATTAGGCACATTAAACAAATTTTGCAAGAAATAGGAGGCCCAAAACTTCACCTAGTCTTAGCCTCTAAGACTATTCTGTCTTAAAAGTTAAGATTGTGTGGGACTTATGAAAACCTCTTGAATTCAGCCTTGGTTTGTAAATCAGATTTCTGAAGTTGTGAAAAAGGCCTGGGCTGTGTTGTAATTGGGAGGTATTTTTTCTGTACGAGCGGGGTCTGAGTGCTTGACAAGACAAGTCGGTGTCTGTCTGCCAGTCAGTAAGATGAGCCAAGCAGTAATATTATTCATATATTGCGGAATGAAGTTAGGTTAGTCTCCAGTGTCAGCAGCTAATACTCTAAGCTCAGCTGTAGCAGAAAGTAGATGCAAAGCTCATTCTTTTCTGCCTTGACAATATTCTTAACCCCATTTTCAGAAGGGCACCCCCTACTGAGCCAGTCAGAATATTTCCATTTTCTATAATACCATCATTATGGCTCCTATGAGCTGGCAATTTAGTTCCAATTTGTGCTGATTTAGAGACAGTTGTGTGCTGTCGACT